TTTCTGACTGAGCCAAATTAGTTAAATTAGCCATCTTCATCATCAAGGTAAGAGTGATTTGGACTAAAGATGAATCAATTAAATATATAAACATACTTTTCATTCAATTCAGGTTCAAAGTCAATACTTAAATCTTGCTTTTCCCCCATTTTCGCTAATTCATCCGTTTCATGTTTTGGTCTTAATTTGTATTGATCTATTATTTATTGATTAAGATATGCATACTTATTGCTTGTTTCATCTGTTTATCTAGAAGTAGCTCCTGTATAGAATGTGCTTTTAATCTATGTGTGAATTTTTCTCTTTCAATTTATACCTTGAATTGACTTAACTTTAAAACAATAGCTTATAAGGCATGATCTTCTGGAGGAATATAGCCATTGACATAAAGATTTTTATTCTTTAAGAGATCTATCAATAATTTATCATTAGTTCAAATATCTTACAATCGCAGATTGATTCATATTCTTTTATAAATAATGAATGTTTTTATGTAAATTCAGTTAATATCTTTTCTTTCTCTCTTTTTTTCTTATTACAACAGAGAAATAAGACAAAGTAGATTTTAGGTGCCTTTTTCCTTATAGTAGATTTAAGTTCGGATAAGAATTTAATTGCCCAATATGCTAAAAACATCACATTTATTATAACTATAACAGCAAAGAGCAATAGCTTTCCATCATTAGTTAAAGTAACTATAATAGACAAAATTAGGTTGACTCGATAATCTTACAAAGTCCTTCATGCCCACAAATATAAAAGAGTCCACAATATATGGTTAATGCTGACGATAAAAGTGATAGTGTTTCAAGATTATTCAAGTAATGATTGTCGAAGGGCAATTTAAAAGTATTAGTCGTTAAACATAATACTATAAACACTATAATTACAAGTGCCTAAAATCATTAAATTCAAAAATTACTTGAATAATCTTTCCAGCTTGTGATAGAAAAACAGAGATAAAAATAATGGCTATTTTTCTATACATGATAAATATTTCCCAATAGAATGAATGCTATCTATATCCATTGTATAAGAACCCATATCTCTCTTTGACCTCAACGAGCTATAGCTCTGTCCTTCTTATATAAAGTAAAAGTAATCCATAAGCAGGAATTCCCAAGCCTGAATTATTTAATTAGTTATTAAACGTTACACCAGATTAGGATAGACGGTAGTGCCACTCCATAAGCAATAAATTTATGATTACCCTCATAACATACTACTTCCAGATCTTCATATAACCTGTTAGAATCGTCAATATCCTGGCAACTATAATTAAAAAATTATACATTATTAGTTATTACTTAAATGCATTAAACATTTATGTTGTTATAGTAGGATGGATAAAGAATAGTATAATTATAACTGATGAGACGATTCTTCCTTATCTTCGATCCTTTCTCTCTGTTAATATTTATCTTATTATTTCTTAATCATCTTCATCTTATGTTTCTATTAAATCTTTTGCCTATTTTAATGGGGTTAAAGGAGTTTGCTGGTTGATTTTATCAGATTAACTTGAAACAGATAATGAATCAGAATGTTGATTAGCATTCGAAGCCTATATCTAAACTTCAGAAGAAGACTTGAACATGCTATCTGATCTCGTCAATGATTTTCTATATTTAAATTCTTTTTTCAAAAGCTTTCGTTAAAGTTTCTTATTTTTGTCTTGCATAAAAAATATCACTTGCCATGAAATAAAACAAACTAATACAACAATCAATGGAGCAAGAGCAAGAATAATAGTCTTTGAATAAAAAGGCCTTATTGTCCCTTAATCAGCACTACTCGTTCTTGTATCAATGAAACAATCCACTGAAAGAAACTAAGTAGTAGCCTCTGAGACAGGCTTAACTGAATTGAAGAAATCCAAAAGCTAATCTGGCCATTAAAAATCAAATGACGCTGTGATTATTAAAAGCTAAAAGTGATTCATTAATATCCTAATAAACACAGATAGTAAATTCTTTTGTTCAAGAGCACCAGCAATGGTCGATCTTATAAGCATAACAAGAGCAAATAAAATCACAATAAGTAACGCCAAAAGCTTGAATGAATTTGATGTATTATCAGGGCATAAAGAGCATTCATAATTACCAGTTCTGGAATACCCTATTTAGCAGTCTGTGCATAATATACCTTAGTATCCAACCTCGCAAGCACCAAGACTATTATTCTCTGGGGAATTTATTCCACTAATTGTATTATTAAAATTAAACTTACAGGCAAGCCAATTCGTTTCTGCACTTCATGAAATTATCACTGGTAACACTGCTTCTCCAATAGTTAGGTTTAGGAAAAACTTTGTTTCCCCCATAACAATATGAAACTGAAGATTAGCATTCCTTACAAGTTGTAACTGATGTGGATGGTGTAAGAAGGTAATAATTTTCTCCGCATTCTTAGCATTTTCCAGATGATAGTAATTCCTCTCCTGCTGCACAATCTCTCAGAGAAACTTGCAAATACAAATTTTGAAGATCAGTTGAACTAGAGGAAGTGCTGGTTGAACTTGGCTTATAATAGGCAGCATTGTCTGGAATATTGTAATCAATACCATCAGTTGTAATGTTAAACTCTAATAAAGTAAGCTAATTAAGATTTACATTGAGAAGTTCCGGGTGTAGACACAAAAATTATATTTTTCAAAACAAAGGCTCCATTTGATACAGAGAAAGTCGTTGTTGTTTCAAAAGTAGATGGAAATTAATCGCTCGAATTTTGCACTGCATTTATGTATAATTTGCTAGTAGTGTCTGATGCAACTATTTGACCGTACTTATCTATTAATGCAAAGTACAAAGGACTAAGTTCTCCACCAGATTTTTATGAAGTCAAGGTATAATCCTCCGATTCAAGGAATCTTAATCGATCCTCTGATGTAGAATTCAGCTAGCTTAAAAGACTTTTGTATTAGCTGTCAGTTATTGATTTCAAAAATTTTGCTACTGACGATATGTTAGTTCCATAAACTACAGCGGAATTATCGATGTATTAATTCTAAATATAAAATTATTGAGTAGATTTTACGTTTGAAGAAACCGGCTCATAGTAGTTCCAAGAAACTGCACCACCTTAAACTTAAGCACTATTTTAACTGAATTCAGTGTTACTTACACTTAGAGAGCATTTGCTTTCTATTGATAAAATATTAAAATTTATATAATACCTCCTGATTAACAAGAAAAGTAAATTGCTCCACCATGACCATAACTGTAAGCTTCTTAATCTTCTTTTGAAGGAATGTATGCTTTGTTTTAAAGAAAATAGTTATAATTGCTAATTTACACTCCTTGAACATTATCTAAATATATAGCACCGCCCATTTTTGCATGGCATTATGTGAAATTTGAACCAGAGATTATGTATCTTGCAGTATTACTTGTTTATTTGTTACTAGATGTCTCAGTAATATGTAAACAGCCTCCATTATCGTTTGTCCAGAATTTGGAAAAGTTGGAATCTACTAAAGTAAAGTATTTAACGTCATCCAAATAAACACTTGCTTAATTTGATGCCATAGACTCACTGGTTGCTTGAGATGAAAAGCTAACCTCTGTAATATTTAAACTTTGTAAAGCTGAAGCAAATAAAAAGTTTGTTGATTTCTTTGTCTAAAAGCTTGAAGAATGGTTAATATTCATATAACCGATAGAATTAGCTGCATAGATAGAGTTTCCATCCTATATCGCTGTATTTTCAGTAAAATTTGTATTTATAATGTAAAGCTGATCAAACGATGAGGCATAAATTGCTCCACCTTCATTACTAACATTGCAATAAGTGAAATTGCTATTAGCAATTGTTAAATTTGAATATCCAAGCAAATAAATTGCACCACCGTCTTTACCTTGGCCTTTAGAAAAAACTGTGTTATTAATTTCAATATAAGAGTCTGAAATAGCATAAATAAAGTTACCAGATATTCTCTCAAAAGTCGAATAAGATGTGAAAGAATTGTAAAAGTTTGAATAGTTAAAATATGCATTCGATAGGACAACCTAAATCCCAGCTGAATTCTTCTAAGCTAGATTATCTCTAAAGGTCAAATACTCAAAAAGTACTGTAGATGAAATAAGTTGAAGAGCATTAGAGCCACCTCCAGATTGTATATAATTAGCTCTTATGATAGAATTTTTAATCGAAGAGCTTTTTGATTAAATAAACTAGCCAATGCTTATTTAAGAGGAAACATAATTTTTAGTAAATGTGCAACCATTTATTTCAATATTTGAGAAGGCGGAAACTTTGAAAATACTACTCTCACTAGCAAAATTTTCAATGAAAGCTGTGTCATTTATTCTAACTGTTGAACTATCCTATGCTTATATAACTCCCACAGTGTTAGCTTAACAGGAATCAAATACAGAGTCAGTAATATTAATCTTACTTGCCTTTAGCAATAGAGCTCCTGCTTAGTAAGCACTAATTGAAGAAAATTTACAATTTGATATGACTGCTTCTGAGTTAGAATCCATGCTTAAAAATCCACCATTATATATAAAATGAATGTTCTTAATTGTGCTGTCTGAAATGAAGATATTTTGCTAGTTAGAAGCCACTATCACTGATACATTTGTAGAGCCATAATAATCAGAATAAAAATCACTTAGCAAATAATCTTGAATATCGTCAGAATCTTGCTCCTCATTTTAAAAGACACATAAATCTATGTACAGATTTGTAATAAGATTTGAGCTTAGATAGAACACTTTGGCCAGTGACCCTTCATTTGAAGTAAATGTGCTATCATAAAATTTAAGATTAGATATAGATTTTGATGTCTTCACAAGGCCATCTAAAAGATAAAATTAATTTGAAATTCTTACAATTAGCGTAATTATCTGTAAATGTGCAGCTCTCAAAATATACTTAGAAATTTAGAGCAACTTCTGAATTCACCAAGATAGAGGAGTCTGATCCATTGTTGCTAGTGAATGTGCAAGAGCTAAAAGTTACCCATTTATCTGTAGATACAGTAGAATATGATGTCTTCATTTCAATGGAGATGATGTTGCATTATTTGAAGTAAAAGTACTATCTTCAATTGTAACTCTAGCTGTAGATACTGCTTCCAAAATTAACTTGAAAATAGCAGATGTTTACCCATATGTAGCAATATAATTCCGCTTAAGATTAAGATAATCAAACACTTTTCCATTGTTTTAAAGTGTTACATTCGATAGAGAAATTATTGTCCCTGACAATGAAAAGTAATTAGAGCTGCTATCTCCAAAATTATCAGCTATGTATATATTTTCAAGCTGGTAGTATTGATTATATTTACTTCCATCAAGTTATGAATGACTAATAATTTAGGCTAAGGGTGAACTAACACCTAAATCATAATAAGCAAAATTGTACTAGTAGTGAAAATTTCTTATCTTCAAAAGTGGTATCTGGTTTGAACTCAGATAAAATAAACTTGAGCAATATCCTAGGAAAAATTTTTATTAGTAATAGTAATATGAGTTGTTTGTATTAAATCCAAAGTTTTGTACTGTTACTGGATTGAAAAGGCCTGTTATATTTTTGAAAGTGTTGTAAGTTTAACCAGTAGGATCACCAATCTGTAAGGTTCCGTAATAATTCTTTAGATAAAGGATTAAGCCCTGCATACTCGAAGTAGAGAATGCATTAAATCTATCTATATTCCAAATATTCTCGAAGTATGAACCTTTTAAGGTTAACAATAGCATCTAATTGATATTAATCAAGCAACATCCAACTATACCTTTGTAAAACTCTTGACTTGATGTTGGCAATTTTTCTTTCTCTGTATCCGAAGTGAATGTAATACCTATTTGAGAAAGTATTAAATTTAGCTGCTCCTAAGTCATTGCTCCGATATTGGTAAAATTTTAGGCATCAATTTCAGCAACAAGAATACCCATCAGTGATATTAAACTTCCCATGTAAAATCTTGATGAATAGCTATCTTTATAGGTAACTCCCAAAGTACAATTGAGGAAAGTATTATTCTTCAAAATAGTTTTATAGATATACATACTGGTTGATGTATCGATTAATCCAGATAAATAATTGTAAATATTGACTTTCTTAGTTTCAGATGAAGTAGCAAGAAGACTTAAATTTTTATTTTGATAAACTTCTAAAAGTGTGCTACTTTCTGTTCCATAAAGTTCAAATAATGACTCTTAACTATTTGTTTCTAAGGAAGAGTAAAAAGATGAATAGGTATTTTTTTCTTTGCAGCCAATGAAAAGAGCAGTAGTGTGAACCATATGACATCCTGTAATACCCTCAAAAGTGTTGTTTTCAATTAAAGTTCCACCACTGCAAGTCATTATTTCACTATCTGAGCTAGTTGACTTAAATGAAGATTACTTAGTCAAATGAAAAACTGATGTAATTGTATATCCAACTATATTCTTGAATGTATTGTTTGTGAGAATAACTTGGAATTCAGTTTCTGAAATTTCACTTTCAATTTTAATTAGTGAACTTGATAATCCTATCTTTTCAAAGGTATTGTTGTGAATTTAAATCAAACCAGATTCATGAGAAATGATAGTTATCAAATTTTGAAGCTGCAAATAGTTGAGGGAATCAAGAACAACGTTTTCAAAATATGTGCTTGATTATTCACTCTTTTTGTAGGTACTACCAAGAGAGCTATTGACTATGCAAGTTTCAAAGAGCTGCTTAATGCTTGAAAAGCTGTTGTTTTGAATAATTACATTTCCATTAAAATCGTTTAAATGGAGAATTAAGCCTCTATTTCTGGTTTCCAGAGGGACTGGTTCTATAGAAGTTGATGTCCTTTTCAAAGTATGCATATCAGTAAATTTGTTGCTGTCTAAAATAATATTGCTTTCAGTTTAAGTGTATAATGTTTCATCAAAAGTTTGATTGAAATATCTTTACTATATTGACTGTGTAATTAAGTCATGGATATCGATGTACTCCTCAATAAATGGATAATCTAGTTAAACTGAATTTCTAACTGTAAGATTATTGTGATATTCATTTGAATATATGGCTCCACAGATACTAAATTACTAGAATGAAGAACTCAAAATAGTGATATTAAAGGGCTTTTGTAAAGGAGTTTTTACCAAAGAACCTAGCTCATAGAACATATTCTTGAATTCACAATTCTATAAATATCAATTTTTACAAAAGCAGGTACTTTAATAGTCACAGTCTATATGGCTGTTGACGATGCTTCATGACTTATCATATTGAACATTCCATTAAATGTTCTAACTGGGCAAGTCTCATCTCTATTTAATCATGTAATAAGAATTGAATCTACCTGTAATAATATAGAGACTAAATGGTGCCACAGGAAACTCCATTTTAGTACATGCAACATGGTTAAATTTAATTTAAGCAAGCTTCAATTGCTGTTGAGGAAGACTTGCTTACTATAGAAAATAAAATTTAAAAGGTTTATTTTACATGGCAAGACAGAATCAACTCCATCTATTATGATATTTGTGAATTCTAAACTTAAAGGAACTTGAATTTAAAACAATGGACCAACTTTGTTGTATATTATTGATTTGGTTGATAAAGTCGAACTAAAACATTAGCACCATAAATTGATGACACTTACTAAATTTTCAAGTGGAACTATGGATTAATGAAATCCTTGTATCTCTAGTTATAAAATACTTTTTAAATATCCTACTTTGTAATTGCATATACTGGATCAGAGAGCTCAATTTTAACAGTCATTCCTAAATATGGTGCTGTTATTTCAAAAGCTCAATTCAGAGCTTCTGGTAGGTTATCATATTCTATAATATCTTCAATTTTATCTCTAATAACATATCTTTAAGTTTTTCTGATGCTCTTAACTTATAGAATTACCTCTGCTGTATTTACATTTTTTTCTAAGCATGTTCCAGTTTAGAGGATAGTATCAGTGATATTTAAATATTTTCCATTTTTACAACTAGTACAGCTATTAGCAGAAATATCTGAGCAACTGTAACAATCAGTATGACAATCAGTACATACAGCTCCAATAGGTTGCTCTGAATTAGATGTATTTAGAGAAAATTTTGAAAACATTCCCTCTCCACATCTTAAGACACATTATTTATCACTATTCAAACTATAACCTTGCTAACATATAGAACCTATTTAAAATATTACATACTATAAAATACATTTATTTTATTATCCAGACTCGCATTTTTCACAGAAATCAGTATCACAATCATTCGAAGAGTCCTCTTGACCTAAGAAATTAGTAAGAGAAAAATTGAATATTGATACAAGTAGAAGATTCATTAGAAGTCTGACTGATATCAAAAGTAACTTGGTTTTTATTCAGTGAGTATGTAGACCAGCAATCCAAGCATGTGTAAATATTTTAAAGACTCTATGACTATTATTTCTATGATTACTATGAGCACTTTTAGCATTTATTACTTAAAATTTTCTGTATATTAGGACTACAAGTTTATTAGTATCCTAGAAAAATAAGAATTATTTTGACTTTAAGATATCTTACCACACTATGAATAAGCAGCTGTAATATTATCTACAGAGGAATCATATTATGGATCTTAGCAAGGTGTGCAAAAAGAGAAGCTGTTTCCATTAATAAAAGAAGTTTTTGAAATCGTAGTGCTATTTAAAACAGATAAACTTGAAGTATTCCCTTTCACATAAAATTAATTCTAATATTAGCATTACTAGCAACCTTCATAAAAGTCTCCTTACTTGCAGTGGTAACCAATTAGCTCACATGTCATATCAACGGGATTGTTAACAGTATTAGGATTGAACAATTGACAATCAGGTATGCAAATATTGATAGCAGTTGTATAAAAGTTCTCATTATCTTTATACGAACTATTGAAAGAATATTTATACATTCCTTGCTCGCATTCATTGCATGTAAGGACAGAGGTATAACTTTTAGTATTCTGTCCTTGCTATTAGTTTTGTTGACTAGTTTCTTCTACTTAGAAAGTAGAACACGATCTGCATCCAGGTAGCAAATTTCTGCATGCTAATTTCAAATTAATCAGATAGCATCAGATTAGAAATAGACTTACCATAACAAGAAGTATCTGCGGTGGTTGTAATACCATCTATACTTTCACTGAGAGCAATTTAGCTGATTTCAATTTCATTAGTCTAACCTATATATACATAAATAAAAATGATGATCTACATGTAAGTGATAAGGAAGATCAAGCCATTATTAATAAAAAACAGAACAATAGCAATAAACTATATTTAGATTTGAAATGTTTTAAATTTGTCATAGTTTTAAGAATGATTTATAATTTTATTAAATTGTCTAGAACTTAATAATTATTACTCAATGGGGTTTTGGGGTTTTGGGGTTTTGGGGTTTTGGGGTTTTGGGGTTTTGG